TTATAAGAAATATATATATATTATATTTATAAGAAACATATATAAGAAATATATTCTTTTTATAAGAAATGTATCAGCTACGTTTCAGCACGTTTTGAAACCTCTTTTCAAAGAGAAACCATATGAAGACGAAAGTCAGGTTTTTAATAAAACATCACTACTGGTTTCTCAAAGTGATAGTTAAGAAGAAATTTGATCCATTTAGTGAGGGGAAGAAACTGCTTAGACGGGAGCCCTTTAACTGGAGATCCATGCAATAACAAGGTCTAATGGTGCGCAACTGGTGCTCACACGTCAGTTTTGACGAGATGCAAAATTTGAGCCGTGAGTGTAATCAAACATTGAAACACACTGCCAGGAATTTATTCATACTCTGGATGGTTTTATGAAGATGCACTATGAATATCAAAGTCATGGTCAGACACGCCAGGAGAGTTTTTTTTATCTAGACCAAAATGATTCTATTAGAATTGCCTTATTGGCTGAAAGATCTATATTGTATAAATAACAATTACTACGCTTCAGATAAAACAAGCGATGACATCAACATCGCGCAGCACTCTGCACGAGGACTGCAATGCTCTAGGCGCTGTTTGCAGAGCAGCATATGGGCACAAGGCGATGATGGTTCCTGGTTCTAGGACTTAAAAATATCTCATTTCAAATTAACTGGTAGCTTTTGGTGCAAACTACGTCCACAGAAGTAAACTAAACATAACTTAATTTGGAAACAGAGTGATGTCCAGCTCATCAGGAGAGCACTGGATAAGACAGGAGAAGAAACAAGCGGTATGATGATCAAGATAAATGAACTAAATCTTTTCAATGAGAGATCAGATCAGGAGTTAAAAAAAGCTAAAGCCATTAAGCAGGTACAGTATTATTTTACAACTTTACTTATACAGCACAGAGTTAATTTGTTTTTTAAAACGCACAAACTCATGACTTGATCTGAAGGCTGCTGCCTGCCTCCCGCGGTGCTGCCTCATTACATCCATAAGAACCCCCTATGTAGTTTCTTGACTTACACCTTCCTTCCCAAACTTTGAAGTCGCTTTCATCGCTATTACCTTACCAGGCAAAGTGTTGTTTCTCCCCTGTATGCAGCATAAAGTTTCTCTGGGTTATCAATTTAATCACATTACTTACACCACAATACCCACCTGGTCAGTGGGGCTTTTTCTTCTGAGAAACAATTGCCTTTAAAATAGAAAATGTATTTACTGTTCAAGGACGTCTTTACCTAGCGCTGAATTTTTATTCTCAATCTGTGATGCCAACTAGTAAGTTTGGCTCAGTTTTGTTATTAAATTGCGGGACTTTTTCCAGCAGATGGTTTGGCTCTATCTACGTTCCAGTTTAAGGTATTAGAAATAAAATGGAAGTCTTTCTTCCCGTATTTTGATAAACAGAAAAAACCAGTTCCCAGTCCTCTCATTACTGCGCGTTATTTCCTGCAATAATCCCTAGCCTTCCTAAAAGAAGCACTAAGGTAGCGGAACAATCTAGGGTGTGAGTAGCAGGGGGAAGCCTTGCCATCGACTTCACCGGTGCGCTTGCTCCCCAATGAAAACTCTCCCTGACCTGGACCTTTTCTTTGGGGATGAAATTCAGGGGAACAAAAGAAAGAAGCATAAAAGAACTCAGAGAAGAAATGGTACAGAGTTTGGGATCCATAAGAAATGGGGTTTTTTTAATGATTCAAAGTGTTTGCATGCTAATGAAGTTCACCGCTTGCTGCTTCTCATGAGTTTTGGTGTATGTAAATTTGCTGATATAACACATGACTTGTAGACCTACAGAATCTAGAACATAGTCCAGGACAGTTATAATGGTTCAGGTGAGATACTAACTGCTTCAGAAAGTTCCTTGGAAAGACTGCTTAATTTCTTTAAAACCACCGTTATAGTCTTGGCGTTTGTGATGCTAACTGAAAGTAAGGCGTAGATGGAAAAGTCTAACAAACCATAACTCAGTCTGAATTAGAGTCCAATGAATTTGGATAAAACCATTCAGGAAACACTCTACCCCTGTCGCACTCGCCATGTAAACTATTAGCAAATGAGAAATTGAGAACATTTTTAAATGCAGAGTAAAATGAGTCTTACAGTTGTATATATAAAAAATACAATAATGGATGCTTTATTAAAAATTATTAGCTTAGTAACTTTTATAAATATCTTAATTAAAAATGATGCTTTCTTATTTGAGACCTTTTTGGCATTTATTAGGAGATGATGGTCGAAGATAATCTCTTAAAACTAGAATTGAACCGTCTTCGAGATACTCTGTGTAATAAGACAGAGAAAGTTCTAACACTGGAAAAACAAAAGCTGGAGTTAAAGAAAGCCATAGCAGAGAGAACAGAGGAAATTAAGATCCATAAGGCAATGCTGGATTCCCAGATAAGACTTGCGGATCAGGAACGGCAACGCGTAAGGTAACTATTCTTCTATCTATTAAGCTTGTAACTTTTATTGAGTATATTTTACATGGGGACTGACTGAAAAAGAGAAGCATTTTACCCAATCTCACCAGTTGGAGAAGTTGAGGATGAACTAAATCTTGCTCAGAGTTACATACTGAGGCAGTTGAGGATAGCAAGAGATCCCGTCCCTGAAATCCAGCCTCCCGCTTTCGCAGCCTGGTGACCAAGAGATCACTGGTTGTTCTGCTAGTGGCGATCCTCTGCAGTACCGAGGGGAAACGTCGGTTGCAGGCATCTGTTTAAAGTCAATGTCGTGTGCATTTTTCAGAATAATCGGGAAATGTGAGATCAGTCTGTCTGGAGGTATGACAGAATATTTAAAATAGAAAAGTTGTCTTTAAAGAGGGTTTACTCCCAGCTGCTTGATAAAATGCGATTTCTTTGACTCATACAGTAAGTCTGTTTGGTTTGGGTTTTTTGCCTTTTTAACAAATGAGCTCTCCGTTATGTGTCCTGTTCAACAAAACTAAATCTTCTGAAGCGTGTATGTACCCTCGTATAAAGCAACCGTATCGGAAATAACTTTTCCCTTCTGTAATAGTCAGTGCAAAGTATCTGGGACAGCTCTAGCTCTGAAATCCCAGTATCTACAGCCAGCCAAAAATCAACGTGTCAGCAGCTGAGCTGCTGAAATCTGGCAGGCTGTTTCTTCCCCCCTCTGCTAACCACACCCCGCACAATAGGAAATTAGAGTGATTTAGTGTGACTAAAGCTTAACCACGCACCGAGAGTGCCGACTGTGTGGCTTTTTTCCTTTGATAATTACACAGCTAATTGGTACTTCCATGTAATTTGATTTGGGGTTGTTGCCTACCCTTGCTTACGCTCATCTAGTCGTGGCAATGTTAAGATACTATCAGCAGGAGGCAGCTTGCGCAGCTGTAGGATTTAAATGCCAAACCTTTAAAAAATTTTTGGGAAGGGCTGTGGCACAGTGATCTGGAATACGAAAATAAAGTAAGGCGAGTTTAGCACTGCAGGAGACGTGCAGGTAACCAGCAGGACAGAGGGCTGCGGCTGGGAGAACACAGAAAGCAACAAAACCCAGCAGCAGCGCAGCCACTGCCCTGCCTGCGTCCTAGCGGGTGGGCACTGCTGGAACAACGCCAGGAACTTAAACTGCTCTGACGGGAGCTGCCCGCAAAACACTACCCGACAAACACTTTCTCAACCCGCTTATTTTTCTCTCAAAATAAATCAGTGCTGAATTTCAAGATCGCCTAAATAAAATTGATAAACTGAGATGCAGATATGAAATCCTTACTGTTGTGATGATGCCACCTGAAGGAGAAGAGGAGAAGACTCATGCCTACTATGTAATTAAGGTATTTTATTAACATAATTTGTTATAATTCAAGTATTTAAGCTCTAGCTTTCCCTGGGCTCTACTGAAGTAACTAAGACGACCTCCTTGCCTACTGCTTACTTTCAGTCCAATTGCTTTACGTTATCTGGCGCAGTCGGTTATTTAAATGATACAGCAATTTCACAACAATCTCCCCGGTGAGTCCTAATGTCGGTGGGACCTTAATTTGAAAAATTGCACTTCAGTGCTCATTAATTTACAAAGACACAAGAAGTACTGGTCATGTGGGAATCTGCTATAAACTGACAAGTTTATCACAGTCTCGCATGATCTTAAAGTCTTCTACCCGTCAGCGTTATTTTTAGGTATTTATTTCACCATATGGTGTTCAAACTTTGAAGAATGTCAGCTTCCCCCTTTTAGTTATCAATCACCTATGCATACTTCAGCTTTTCGGTGGGGGGAAAAAAATCAGTCTTTATCCATAGTGCAGTACTCTGATTCTGGAACAAAAATCTATTCTTTTTGATCTCCACAAATTCCCCGATTTCCTCTTAAAGCAAAATGCTTCTAGCTGCAATCTGGGCTCTGAAGTCCATCTCCCTCTCATTCTGAAGCGTGAAATTTCTTAGTGATGGCATTTCTGCTGCCGAGACCCAGCCCGGCAGCAGGCCTCAGTAAAGCCCGCGTGGTCACTGTGGGCGGACGCCCTCTGACAACCACGGAGACTTTTCACTGCGTGAGATTTTCTGAGGGGCTACAGAAGAGACATCCCTACACCAGCTGGCTCCGTTTCTTAAATCTCACTGACCAGGTGGATGGAGACTTCCCAGTGAGCGACTCCCAGACAAACGGGATGACTTTTAACACTCTCCCGCTAGTTTTGTATGATGTACAATCTCAGCTCTTACTGGATTTTGTGGGTAAGGAAACCGATGTGAAGCGTGTGCTGCAGTTCACATCAGCAGCGCAGAGCATGGAAACCGCTGCGTACGCAGCGAGGATACTGCGGCGCGGGGCTCTGTGAGCGTCCAGCGGAGGGCAGATGCCTTTAACGACACGCACGTGGACAGAACACCTCAGAGAGCTTCCAGTACTGGGAATAACGGCTCCTTCCAGCCCCCCAGTAACTCAGATCTCAGCTCAAGCCTGACAACACAGAGAAGCCCCACATCTACCTGGGCTTTTAACCCCTAAATATCACAGGTGTTTTCTGTATAATTGTCCTAATATTTTCAGTATGCACGCAGTCACCTAAAATATCAGTTTTACTTGCAGGCCGCGCAGGAAAAGGAAGCACTTCAACGTGAAGGTGACGATTTAGATGCAAAGATCTGCAAAGCTGAAAAAGAAATTGTAGCTCTGGAAAACACTTTGCGTGTACTTAATAACTGCAACAGCAATTACCGGAACTCTTTCAAGGAAGTCACCGAGACAAGTATGTAGAATAGAAATTGCTGGTTGCTGTGTGAGTTACGGATGATGGTAAAACTCAGGTCTAGAGCAGGGAAGTTCCATGGCACAGAAGAATGAATCACAGAAAGAGTAAACTGATAGTAGCAAAAGGGAGTAAGTCACATGCTGCTGTGAGTGATTCAGCAGAATAAGCACAGAAGAAAGCGCAATAAGGTGTAATTACTAATATTTACATTCCTATATCTGATTTCTGTGAAGATCTCTAAGCCTGTATAACTTTTGCAAATAGTCATAAGCAGGAGCATTCAGAAGAGGCAAAGCATAAAGATGATTACTGGGGAAAAAAATGTCATTACTGGGAGAAAGGGGCGCTCGCTGAAGTACCTGGGCCTGGTGGATAAAATTTTGCACAGTACAAAAAGCACCGTAGTGCTTTTTCCCTGTCGCGTTGCATCACACACAGCTTCTAATGCAAATTGCAGCAGCAGAACAAGCCGTGCTGCTGCCGGCCGCCTCGTGGCGGACTGAGCCAGCCCGGGCACAGAGCTGGACCTCGAGCAACTCCCCGGGCAGCTTAGGCACACGTGCTCCAGGGGCGAAGACCGATCCCTTACCTACACCATCGTTATCTCCGATTTTCACAGGGAAGCGGGGAAAAAGTAGTAGTAACCTGTCAGCTGGGAAAATGATGAGGAAAAGTAAAAAACTGTGCTCTTTTAGTGTAGCGTCAGCAGATTTTAAACCGCGGACTACCTAACTACAAGTTTTTGGATATTGAAAACTCCTCAGAATTCTGGAAAATACCTTCATTTGCTGTTTCTGTTGCCACTTAGACTCCACAAGCTTGCTCTCCTCCAGTGGAACTTCCTTTGTTTAGCTTGTAAAAATACATAAACTTAATTCTAGAAAATATTTGATTATTTAACTTTTGTGCCCTCTGCTGGCTCTGGACACAGTAGCTCTTGAAATCATTCTCTTGCATGAAGGCAGTTACTTTTTCGCAGGGATTTGGAATTAGTAGCAGAGTATGAAAAAAACCCATAAATGTTGAGGCCTCTGTAATACTCCCACCACTAACGCAGCAATACTCCATGGTGCAGTTACTTTAAAGTGCAACTGCTTTTAAAGTGAAAATTGAGTTGTATAGACTGCTTGTCCAGCATTAATTAATGCTGCCTCATTGCTTGGGATCACAGGTGAGGAGTATGAGGAGAAATTGAAACTAGAGGAGGAGAAGAGGGCTGCTGATGAAAAATACCGATACAAACGCAGACAGATCAAGGAACTGCAGGAGAATCTCCAGGTAAAGCTCCCGTCAGACAAGGCTGCAGCCTGTGCCTAAATCCTAGCCCCCCTACTGAAAGAACGGGAAATTCTGGGACAAATTTTTGCCCCTTCTCTTACATCCTATGACTTGCACGAATGGATACAGTTTTTTAGAAGGCTTTAACTCTCCTTTCAAAAAATTGAGTGCTTATTTGAATTTTTGTGAAGCACAATGAAACTTCAGGCTTTTTAGTCACATACAGCTAGAAGTTTCCAAATCCCAGATGCTCTGTTCTGGCATCCAGGAAAGCAGTTGTCTTTTTGTATAGCATACCCCACGATACTGTATCATCCACACATCTTGTGTCCTCTGGCATCTAGGTCCCAGGATTTTCCTAGGAGAACATGTTCTGTTTTATTAGCATTCAGGGTGCTTCAGTTTAAACCGTGCTAAGCCAGCTCAGGGAAGCCAGCTGACTCCCACCTGAGCTGCCCCTGGCGCCCAGCCTGCTGAAGGACAGCTTGGGTTCAGGCTCCACGTCAGGGACTTACTCTTGGTTCCCCTCGTCACCAAAAAGCCCACCTGGCCCTTAAGAACGAACGACACTTGACTCTGATGGGTGACACTCTAGTTACAAGTGTCTTAGGCAGAAGAAGTCAAAGGCACCCCGTTACATCCCGCAGGATTATTCTAAGCCCTGAGCCACTGGCTACAGGTCAACAAACATTCCTATTGCTTAGTCCACCTCCACAGGACACGTACCTCACTTAAGAAATAACATCTCGGAAAGGAAAGAACAGGGACGCATATCTTCATTGGGGAGTAAGTCCTAGGACACAACGAGGCGTTAAGGCATACCCTTCCCTGCCTCTTTATTTATTTATCTTATAAAAACCAGAGCCACCTTTACAGAGCCGCCTTTTTTCATTCCCGACAAAGGTATCCATCTCCTCCCACGGGAAACAATGTCATTTCTCTTAAGACAGCTTGCACTGGTACGTCGGTACCGTGCCAAATACATGGTCTGCAGACACTGCTCAGAGGCACGTCTGAAAATACATGCTTAAAACTTCATTAATAGTACCTTTAACGTCATTTTTGAAAGATACGTAAATTACCCGGTACTCTCTCTGTCCTGGCATTTATCTACCAAACAGCGCGACAGGCAGCGAGTTTTGAGTTGTGTAGCACTTAGTACCAATTGCTTGAGCTACATTTAGAAACAAGTAGTAGCGATACTGACCCTCCCACAAAGTAATACAGAAAGTGAAAGGATATCGGAATGGCTTTATAAACTATAACTGCTGTTCAAATGAATTTGCAGAGCATGGAAAAAAATTTCGATACGGTGCTGAAGCAGGAGGCCCTCTTCCAAGAGCAAAAGAAGGAAAAACAAGCTCTTATTTCGCAGCTGAACAAAGACATAGAAGAACAGAAGCCAAAACTAGAAAGGGTTATGAACCAGGTCTGTATAGTCATTAGCGACAGCTTCTGACTTCATAGTGACAGCCAGCAGCGTGGTTAAAACCACAGAACTTAAACTTAGCAAGTTTCTGAAAAAGTGAGGCATTTTCGTAACAGCAGTGCTTTAAAAATATTTGTGTTAAGTGTTCCAGACTATCCAGAGAAATTCAGTCTCTGAAGAAAACTAAAACAGAAACACAAGAAGAAAGGGACATTGATCTTCGTGAATTGAAAAGCTTCCACAGAAACATCGACAAATTGTTAGCTGATGTTCTAGAAGCAAATCCTGATTTATCTACACCCTTTCAGCTCTACTTTCACCAGGTGAGCTTTCCGGTTAACTGCCACCGGCATCTCGATTGATGGCTCTAGTCTACCGAGGAGTGTTTCGAGGGCAACTCCTAAATTCAACAATAAACTACGCTTATGGTAAAGCAGGAGAAAGTGTTCATCTGCTTTCAGCATCTCTTTAAATCCAAAGGATTGTAAACCCTCCCGATACACCCAGCCCTACGGTACAACCATTAGGTCAACTTCTTTTTTCTTTCCAAATTTTCTAGTCCAATTTAGAGCTTCCTACAACGGCTTCTAACGGTGGTAGTCAGAGTTCTCCATCACCATCCCCACAAAGCTCGCTAGCTTCTACCAGGTAAGTGCTAGCGATGGCTTTTTTAGCTTTGGTTTTGGTGTGGGTTTTTTTTTCCTGAAGGTAAAGCTTAAACCAGCAAAATTAGTCCCTAAATGGCAGAATTCCTCACTCCTGAAGGTCTTCTCAATCTTGCCTCTACTTCCCGAATGCTCTATAAAAACTTTCTCCTTACACTCTCCCACCTTTAAGTTTACTAGATTTTTCTAGCACACAATTAAGTTTACTTCTGCATCCGTCAGAGTTTAAAACTGTAATGACAGAATAACCATGCTTACCTTTACTAACTGCGCTCTAACTAAGAAGTGGTTCCACGTTACAAAAGCACGAGTTTGCGCTCCAGCCCCATTTGCACCTGGTAGCGTGAGCTCCCTTTCCTGGTTAACCGGGGCAGACAGCGCTGTACGCTTTTACTGATACCTTTTTCCCCTGCTCAGCACGCGTTCAGCTGGCGGGGCACAGAACACCGTGAGTCAGTTACAATCCGACAGCGTCCCCACGAGCTACCCAAGCTACGAGGGGTTATGTCTACCAAGATGGTGGTAGGGGTCTCACCCAGAACAGACGCTGCTGCTGGGCGGCTGCGCTGTAAGCCGCCGTGGGCAGCTGTTTTACCCAGAGGGATTTCTGTGTACTGATGAGTAACTCTTGTCTTTCAGATCCTCCAGAAGCGCAGGTTCGGGCTCCAGTCAGACTCCATCGCTCAGAGTCATAGACCTGAGCTTGCCTGTCAGCACGCCCGCGGCGGCAGCTGCTGCTGGTTCCCAGCCAGCCAGCAGAGCGAGCGCCTCGGGTATTTGTACACGCCCAAAAAAGTAGTCGTTTGAAGGCCGTAGGGAAGGCTTCACGCTACTTAAGGCTTCTTAATTGAGTAATCTGTAACTTAACTTATTTATCAAGGTCTGTTAGCAATCTTAGCGTTAACTTCTATTGGAAATGCGTGTTTCAACTTTCTTCTGCAACATAAATTATCTAGGAAAAATGTTGAGCATATGTTTTATACAATAAAATCAATTAACCTTTAAATTACTTTCTCATTTTGCTGTTGGAGAACTAAAGATCCACAAAACCCTTCCGAAGCCCGTAATTCATTTTTCATAGCATGAAAAGGAGAGTTACGTTAAAGCCGTTAAATTATAGCGAACTGGTATCTTCGCTGCTGTCCAAACAGTTTTAGGTTACACTGCGACAACCCAGGAAAGAAAACGTATGCTTCGTTTCGAGATCAACCTTGACTATTAATCAAATAGTCAGCTCGGGTAATACCTTAATCGAAAGATGACAGCACAGAGTTGAAGGCAGCAAAGCTGCTACTTCTGTTTGAAATCACCGAGTACCTTTTTTGCAACTGACCTCTGTCTACGGAGAAACTCGGAAAACTGGCAGCCGACGCGGGGCTGGCGTGGCGCAGGCTCCCTGGCGCGTTCTGCCGGCCGTCTTCGCAGAACTCGCTGTAAGCAGAGCCTCACCTTTGCCGCAGCAGCGCGCCCACCGCCTTCAAGCGCCCTGTAAAGCAAACACCCACCAACGAACCCAAACAAAAACCAAGGCCCGCGCTTGAGCTTACCTCGGCGATAAACGCCGTTTCAAACCCCTCTCCTTGTACTTCCCTTGGGTTGTTTTACATTACTTTGAGAACGTCTCTGACGCCTTTAAAGAACGTAACACACTTGCCCGCACAGGCACTGGAGGGCTCCATTCGCTTACAACCAGTGCACCAGCACCATTAACAAAAAACAAGACACAAAATTAAGAAAAACTAAGAAAATTTAATGATCAAATGAGCTATGTACATTGGTGGCACGTGACTTCCAGTCAGTTATCCCCTTTCTATAGCTGGAAGTTAAGTTTGATACAAAAATAACAGTCAAGAGTACCCCAGGGGATGAAAAAAAACCCAAACCCAAACAAAACCCACGTGTTATTAAAGTGCATACTTGACGTGAGTTCCACAACTAACTACAGTCCAGGGGCGTCAAGGATTTCAACCCATCAGACAGAGGATACTGTACAGGAACATCCCCAGTTAAGAGCACAGCAAACCTAGATTTTAAACAATAACAGATATTTTACGTAAGATGTCCTTGCATCTCTTTCCACCATACAATCTTTACTTTAAGAATTCTTTGACATTCTGCAGGACAGAACAAGTTCTGCCTTTCCATCACTCTTCATACGCGTTTCCTCAAGAGCTACTCGGAGAAAAGCTCTATGCTACACGCAGAACAGCATTTTCTTAGCTACGTTACTGTTTCTTCTGCTTACTTCCCTTCTCCCTCTCAAACTCAGCTATTTGGTTGAATATGTTCACCAAGTTCTGGGGCAGGTTTCTTTTCACGCCGCTTTCCGTTTGTGCTGTACCATTTAAAGACATTTCCTCGTCTGGGTCCTGCGCTTTCTTAGTCTCCTCACAGCTTTTTTCCCTACTCTTACACTCGCTTTCATTTTTATGCTGACGTAACACATGCCGACCGCTATCGGAACTTTTCTCACCTTCACGTAAGCAGGCACTCGAATACGACCTGTGCTTTCCCGCTGACCTGCCAGCGTAGTCAGACCCTGCTGGAGACACGTAATGCCTGTCTTGCCCTGAGCCGTGTTTTTTAAACTGCTCTTTTCTCCCCTCTACGTCCCTTTCTAATTTCCTAAAGTAATGCATCCTGGGTTTATCATCTGACTTGTGATATGAACCTGAAGAACCCCTCCGACCGGAGAAAAACCTATCAGATTTACCGTATTTTTCAGTTTTGCTACTACTTGGCAGAGTCCTGGAGCTACTGTAAGAATCTCTTGAATCTTCAGACCTACCTCCAAAAGTGTCTTCATCGTCACCTGAAGTCCTCGAAAAAGAACAGTGTCTGTCTTTCTCTCTTACTTCTGGTTTTGTACACACTAAGCTGTCCTGCCTTTCCAGCAGCTTTTCCACTTCAAAATTTTGGTTAAGAAAGGAAGCAGAGGTATCGGCCGGAGGCGAATACCACTCCTCTTTCCTAACCTGATCTTTATAATGGGAAGAAGCTCTAGATGAGCATTTTTTGGAGCTGCGGGCAGACTCGGATCTGTTCCGACGCTTTTTCCTATGTTTCTTGTGATCAGAGGAAGAGGAGGAAGAAGAAATTGATACATCCGATGAAGAATCACTTGAGGAGGAGGAGGAGGAAGAGGAGGAGGAAGTCGATACTTTCCTTTTCTTCTTCAACCTAAAAAAATGTAATTAACCTGTGAGACAATCTTCAGCATCAGGCAAAAGCGACACGCAGAAAGCAAATCTCTTCTCCCCAGAGTCTGGCTGAGATGGGACGGTAGGGCACGAATGGAAACTGAGCCTGACCTGGCAACACAATTTCAAATGTCACTTCTTTATCAAAAAATTAAGATGAAATCCACCGACCGGTTTGTTATAAAAGGCATCTTTCCCAGTTTAATATGGCGTTACACTTTGCAAATACTTCACGTTGCAAAGTCGTCTTTAAACAACCTCTCTTCCACACGTACCTCCCTTAAAGGTTATATGCACTAAAGGCCACTACCCACAAAAAACCTCCGGAGGAAAAGCAGCTTACCTACTTCTACCTAGCTTACTCTTGGACAAGCTGCTTGGAAACGGATTGTTCATAGTCCTGTCTGCACTTACTGCCACCTACTCAGTGTACCGAATATAACAAAGTTACCTTTTTTCTTCTTTTAAGAGCTTACGCAATTTTTCTGCACTTGTTTCTACTTTCTTTTCCTTCTGTCTCTCTTCTTTGGCAGCTTGTTTCTCCCTCATTTCCAAAGATTTCTTTTTTGAACCCAAGCGTCATAAAAAAATTACATTAAAAGGAAGTGTTAACACCGGTATTTTTCCCCATGTCCCCAACCCCATTCGAATGTATAATTACACCAGGGATGTTTTACCAGGGTTCCCAGATCAAGAATTAGTATTGTTCAGGAGTTTGGCATTGGCCATTGTGATAATCAGGTTTACATTAAGGACCATATTGCAGTTTTTGTTCCATTAAAAAAATACATTTGCCCAGCCATTGCAGTGGTACCCGTGATCCAGCGCACCGTGAAGCGTGGAGCCCAAAAGGTACAGACAGAATATGCAAGAAAAACCCCGTATTAGCAACAGGAAGGGGGAAAAAAGACAAAAAAAAAAAAAAAAAAAAAAAAAGGAAAAAAAAAAAGGTTTGAGAGAAGTTTTGACTTTAGCTTCCAGGCAATAGACAGTAGAGGGGGGGAAAAAAAAAAAAAAAAAAAAAAAAAAAAAAAAAAAAGAGAGAGAGAAAGGTTTGAGGGAAAGTATCATTGTTGTAGTTTACAAGTAAAACATGGCAGAACCCATTTGAAGATGTATTCAAGTTGGCCGTGTTTGAATACAAACCGTTTTGTAACAATTTCACAGACCAGTTTGATGCATAGTTTACGTAAGAAATCATATTCCAAGGGTTTGTTGGTGACGAGCAGCACCAGATGTCAGATACAGCCACAACGGTCCAATTCAGAAGAAAATGCATTGGAGAAAAACACATAATCAGTATTACAGGAAAGCACACGTCCGTGTTGTTTCAGCCACTCTAGCACAACAGCGATAGTATCAGACTTATGTATTAAAACGCACGTAAATGCAGAAGAGCATCTCATCAGATGAACAATCCTTAAACTACTTAAGTCTATTAGAGATCAGACTGCTGCCATCCACAGCCCTAAAGAGTAGCTCTGTTCACAGGCAGAGTGAGCAGAAAGTCTGATTATCGTTTTCAAAACTTAGTAACTGTCTTAACAGATACAGTAAAGGAAACCCTTAATTGCAGCTACGGCTATGCAAACCGACCAACAGCAGCTGGCGTCGTGGTTTTTACCTGCTGCCTCAGCGACCCATTGTACCAGGAAAATGCTAAAGGAGAGCAAAATTTCTCTCCTGCTTGCTGAGAACGTTCTTCATCATTTTAACTGAGACTGACACCTCTTTCTAAAGCAGCCAAATGTGGGCAGTGCTCATATACCACACAACAGCTTATCTATGATGTGGCTCGGTTTTATTAAAAAGATTGTCGTCTCTCCTCTTCCCCTTCCTTCAACACAGCCTGTCAGCATTATGGCTCCACCAACCGAAGAAGTGTCGATTAAGGCCATCTACCCCAGTCTGCGTACTTCCTTAGGGGCAGAAGCACAGAACAGAACAAGCCTGTGCCTCAGTGCTCTATTTTAGTCTTTGATTCTCTCTAGAAGACAACACAAGTCAAGGAGGTAAATACCAGAAAAAAAGACAACAACTCAGACGAGCAGAGACCCACCAGGGCTCCCCTGGGAAACACGATGCGTGCAGGAGAAGAGAGGAAAAAAACCAGACAGCAGAGAAGAAAGCTCAGATATTCAAAACTGCCTGCCTGCCCGCCCACCCACCACCCCCTGCTGTTTTCCTTTAAATCACCTCTTAATTTCCCCTCTCAGGGGATCTTCCTGCGAGTTAGCTTTGGCTGGTGTTACTCTGTCTTTTTGTCATAACTCCAAACAACAAGGCTCTGGCCGGTACGATGGTGTGCAATGTTTATTTGGCGTGCCCACGTGTTCTACGCTTTGCATGTCCGTATTCACAGAATCTTTTAATTTGACATTATTAATCATGCTTGTGTGATGGAATATTCTTATCCTTGCTTTAGCTGATGGGTTTAACAGGCTTTGCTCTTTCCCTGTCTCAACTGTTTGGCGTTTCTTTGCTACCCTGTTCAAATGAGCGGAGTCATCAAGAGGTACCCTTCTTCTGGTAGGCACAGCCATAATGCTCACTATAAAAGCTTTACTGCGGAGAAGGGAAGCAGAGAGTAAGACAAACCATCAACTTAAGCTCTCCCTGCTCAAAAGAGTCAATATCGTTTTTGACGTTCATTTCTTGTCGCCGAGAGCACTATATGAAGAGAAAGTAAAGAATCACCTGCATGTGCTTACGCAGTTTCGTTAAGGCCTCTTCTGCTTCCTGAAAGGTCTCATCCAAACTTAAGGCTTTTTTATAGTAACTCTCGGCATTTATTAGCTTGTCTTCCTCTTCCAACCTAAAATCCAAGTGATAATTCCATATACAGTTAAGCCACAGATTTTGACAGTTTTTTCTTATTTTTAGGACTACCTTTCTTATTCGCACTATGACGCTACCACTGCGTCTGTCCAAGACCCTATCTATCATCTTAGCCCACCTCAGTAAAGAAATATAACCGTATTTCTGATATGTTATCTCCTAATCATCATCGGTAATACTCTTCTTGGAAATTTCAGTTTCATAAATACTCTCTCTCACTTCTTAACACAGGGCTTAAAAGAAATCTATTCCCTGAATATTCAAAAGTGAAATTGTGTGTTCCAGTCGTTAACCACTACTTCAATAGAGCAACAGAACCTCATTTTGTTACAAATATTTTCTTTAAAAAAACCCAACAAACCTATTGCAATATATTCAAACATTTCACGAGGCTTTACGTGAACCTGGTAACCTACCGATAAAAGGATATCAAGGATTAAACCTCAAATATTTTGCCAGGATTTTAACTGGGACAGAGGAGAAAGTGTAAACCAACCGCCCCA